TTGAAGTCCGAGCAAAGTACCCTAAATGGTTCGTGCAAGGAATAATTCGATCTACAAAGCGGAAGGAAAAGAGCAATGAAGTTTCTAGTAGATCTGATAGGAATCGTAAAGTTTATGCGGCTCAACAAGTCAGGGCTATCTACATCACCCTTGATCAGGTTGTGCATAAAAATCACACCAAGCATTTTTCTACGACTAACTAAGGTTGGAAGGTTTATTAAAAGCAATCTACGAGGATAAGATGGCAGTCTCACACCTGCATCCCAGTTAAGGCCACGCAGAGCAAAAAGTAAAAAGTTTTTCTGGACTGATTCTATACGGTCCTGGTGTACTTTGTACTGGGGGCACCATACACAAGAGCCGTATTCTAAAATCGGACGAACAAGCGAGATATAGAGAGTCTTCGTTATATAGGGGTCATCAAATTCCTTTGACCACCTCTTTATAAGCCCAAGCACACCCATGGCCTTATTTACCATGGTAGAAATGTGTTCAGAAAACTTCAACTTTGGGTCTAATTTAACACCAAGATCATCAACCAAGGTAATTCTCTCAAGAGAACCACCGCAGAGGCTATAAGGAGCCAATAGGGGGCTGGAGCGATGAAATGTCATTACTTTGCATTTCGAGGCATTTAGGTGTAACATATTTGCACAACACCATGATTGAAAGTTATTGAGATCGGATTGCAAGCGAGAGTGAAATGAAATGTCCTTATACTGGACACAAAGTTTAACATCATCCGCATACATGAGTACTCGAGAGTTTGTTAATACTGAAGGCAGATCATTAATAAAGAGTGTGAATAGTAGGGGGCCTAGATGGCTGCCCTGTGGTACTCCAGAAGTAACCTTAACAGGTGAAGAGAAGGAGTTTTTGAAGAGGACTCTTTGAGACCTAGAACAAAGGTAGCTAGAAATCCATCTCAAGAGATTAGGCGGAAACCCTAAAAGGTCAAGTTTTTGTGCTAAAAGGGAATGGTTTACAGAATCAAATGCTTTACTAAAATCAGTGTAAATGACATCCGTCTGCAAGTTACCTTGAAAGCCTTTAATGATAAAAGAGGTAAACTCTAATAAATTTGTGGTTGTTGATCGTCGCCTTATAAATCCGTGCTGGGACGGAGATATAAGTGATTTGCAGAGATGTTGCAAGTGCGGAGTTAAAATTTTTTCAAACATTTTAGGAATAGCGGATAACTTAGATATACCCCTATAATTATTTGCATCAGACTTGCTACCTTTCTTATGGAGCGGAATAATAAAAGATTCCTTCCAGATGGGGGGAAGCATGAAGAGTTAATAGATAGGGTGAATAGTTTAAGCAAGGGTCCACACAGAGCGTCGGAACAGTACCTGAGTACACAGCCGGGAACTCCGTCGGGACCTGGTGAAAACACCGGCTTAACTAGTCGAAGATCATGAAGCAGTGAGCTTTCATTTAACAAGGGGCTGAAGATGCCATTCGACCTTGGTAAACTGTATGGATACGGCTGACCAGAGTAGCTTTCATGAGAATAGGTTGTTTGGAAAAATTTGGCAAAAAGATCGGCAATTGCCTGATCATTGTTTGCTGACATATTGAGAAAAGATAACGAGGATGGATGTACGGACGTTCTACGCTTACTATTTACGAAGCTGTAAAACTGTTTAGGGTCCTGTGAAAATCGTATCCTGCATCGAGATAGGTAGTTCTTATAGCATTGAGCGTTAAGAACGGAGAAATTTGACCGAGCTATTACATAGTGAGAAAGAGAAGAGGGAGAACCAACTTCTCGAAATTTTTTATAAAGTCTTGATTTTAAATTTTTTAGACTGGATAACTCCTTGGTAAACCAAGGAGGTTTTCCAGATCTAACCGGACAAGAAAGTGGGACACAAGAATCAAAAAATGTGTCAAGTACATTGTAAAAAATGTGTGTGCCTTTCATAACGTCAGTGCACAAGTACAGAGCGGACCAATCAAAATCCCTAATAAGGTTATTAAGCTTCGTAAACTCGGCTTTACGAAAGCAGCGGACACGTTCGGATAGCCTACTCATCTCGATCCAATACAGTAGGGCCAATATCGACTGACACTTCGAATGTAGGATGGTAGGAGTCTTCAGGTATACTGAGCGGAAGGGCTCGGGTTAACAACGCTATGGTCGGATCCGAGACAAAGCACAGATCAAGCAATCGACCCAAGGAATTTTTCACATGGTTGACTTGAGACAGGGATAGGTCTAGCAAGCCGTCGATAAAGTCATGTCGTGACATGGGCACAAGGTTATTAGACTCGTTTACCGAAGACCAAACAGCACCTGGCAAATTAAAATCACCAAGAACTATCATATGGTCTTTATCTGATAGCGAGGAAGAAACAGTTTTTAAAGCGGTCAGGTGATGCTCGTATGTTAAGATATCCGAGGAAGGTGGAATATACGAGCAAGTAATGAAAATGGAAAAGCCTGGGAGAATCAGTTTTACGCACAGGAATTCCAGGTCTTGTTGAAACTGGACCATGAAATGTTCCGACGTGAAATTTGAGTCCACTGCAATAAGGACCCCACCTCCACGTCAGACGAACGGTCATTTCTAAAAATTGTGTACCGACCTGCCAAAACTTCGGAACTAAGGATGTCCGGCTTTAACCAGGTCTCGGTGAACACAATAACGTGGGATGAGAATGCGAGACTCTCAAGGAAAAGAGTGCTGAGCTTACTACGCAAGCCTCTAGCATTCTGGTAGGTAACTACAAGAGAGGAAGTTAGTTTTTTGGATGGGTGGAAGTAGAGGTGGAAGATGAGGATGGAGATGGAGCACTGGTCTGAATGCTAGGAAGAGTCATGGGGGGCCTATTCTTTTTCTTAGCCTTAAACTCTTTAACCACCAAATGCTCTGGCCAAAACTTGGCGGAACAAATGGTTTCAAATTGAGTTGGAGAGACGCTTATCTTGAAGGAAGATATCTCCTGGCGTAAGAAAAGTTAAATTTTTCCACCTTTAAGCCGACGGCTTTTATTTTGCTTTGTATAAAAGCGGTCACATCATTTTGTGAGGTCAGGGGCTAGCCACGAGACAAAAACTTGTCGCTTTGGTGGGACTCCCACCAGTGGTTTTGGCACCACAGGCCTAGTACCTGTGATGGCAGTATCCGGTGGTCCTGGACATCTATTAGCTGGTGGGAGCAAAACTGAGGGGATAGTTAAGGGGTTGGGTGCGGACTCGACGGACACGGACTCTACAGACATTTCTAACTGCATACTCTCCGAAGTGACGCATTCGGCTCCCGAATCTGCATCACCAGCAGCGATCGTTGCCCTTGGAGTAGCAAACGTAATCAACTGCTGCACTAAGGGAGTGGTCGGAGTAAGTTTTTCGGATGCCGGATACAAAGGATACTTACTAAAACTTCCTTGACGTACTATTTACCACACTTTGGTGTTAAAAATATCAACAAGCGAAACAAACTGCGGATTGTCTTTGATGCGGCTGCAACAGTCATGGTACTTGCTTAAATGATTATCTTCTGACAGTGCTCAGAGTGAGGACGGCGCTGGCTGGGCAACAGCTCTGTGGGCATTCCAGCCACACCACTGTTAGCATTCCAGCTACGCAAGTGTTTGCCCTCGCTCCCGCTCTCACGCTTATGAGCGTTTTTCCCCCCTGTGACGCGCTCTCGTGCGCCAGACTCACCACGCTTATGCAAGTTAACGAACCCGTTCCCATAAGAATATTATTCAATTTATAAACAATCTTTGGCTTCCCATAGTATGCTATACACAATCTTCGGTTTCCCATAATTGGAAGTCAGGCCACCCCAGCTTTAATATAAACAATTGTTGATATCACTTAAGTTGGAAGTCAGGCCACCCCAGCCTTATTATAAACAATCGTCGATTTCAATTAGAAATCCATTTACGTTGCAGCTGTGGCCGATTTCTGCAAACATTGCTATTTGGAATTTCACAAGTCCTTAACTAGATGATCGAATCCAAACCGTTTTATAGAAGCTTCCCGAAGAGGAATCAGAAGTTGCTGAGACTTCGAGGTCAGACGTGTGGCGTTCTGCTGCTTTCAATTTGAAAGATAATACAAAACATTCTCCCAAAACATAAACTGACAAAAATCAATATATTTTGCATGTGTTTTACTTGCATGGAAAAGTATTTCATCTAGTTAGCATTTCCCTTTCTATTTGTATCGTTTGATTTGAGGCTGGGCAATATTTTTCATTCTTACACTGATTTCGGACCGGCATGGAAGTTTTCGAGGGACGTTCTTCCCGGCAGTCGGCAGGCTGCCATAGGAACAATACAACCAGTGGCCAGGGCCATTGCCATGGTCATGGCAATGCCAATTGCAATTCCCATCCACGTTCGGACGAAGTCACGCAACTGGGGACAGCTTTGACCATGGCAGCAGCCCGATCTGCTGCGCCCTATCCGGCACCTGCTTCACATCCACCCGCTGGCCAGCCAATGAGGAATTTTCTGCCTCGCGTCGCAGGACTCAGCCGCCGTGGTCAGGCCCGCCCACAAAAGGTGCAGCCATTGAAGACGCCACTGGCTCGGCCAGTGCCCAGCAAGAAGGCGTCCCCTCATCCTCACGAAGCGCCGAGTCTGGCGGTGCTGGGCAGCGCCAATCCCAGCACCAGTGGCAGTGGTGAGACCGGCGAACTGGTCGCTCAGATCGGTCTGGCACATGGCCAGCGCAGGGGGAGGTGCACCACTCCAGCTTCGCGTACCTGTCGGCGACGGATGCCAATGCCGAGGTGCCCCGACGTAGCGACGATTCCTATACACACAGAGGAACGAACAGTCGTGCCGAGAGCTGGAGCGAACTATCCTGGGACCAAGGGGACGTGGAGGCGTTAAACGATAGCTACCAGCTGCTGAACGAGATGGTCGCTGGCACTGAGACGGCCAGGCCCAACCGAAAAGAGGCCAGCAAAAAGCAGCTGGGGCCCTCGGTGTCCTCCGCTGCTAAAAATGAGCACAAGAAGAAAATATAAATATACATCTGAAAAGGAAGATAGAGACCAATATGCAGGCCATTATCAATCCGGTGGACCGCACTGAAGGAGGAGGCCCGCCAACGACACCAGAACCCAAATCACACAAAAAATCATCTAAGCCAACAATCAAGACCAACGCGAACGCCAAAGCCACCACCGCAACCGCAACCACAACCAACGATGAGATGATGGTGGACTCCAGCGATACCTCGAGCAGCTACTGCACGCCATGCGACAGCTTCAGATCCATCAGTCCCTCTATGCAGCCCTGCTACTGTGCCAATAAGCACAGCATCTGCGGGACCAAGCGCAAGCAGAACCGGCAGAAAGATGTGACCGTCAGCCAGGTCGGATTCCGGCACATTGAGCACGTGGCGAGCGTAATGCAGATGCCTCGCGTCAGCGCCAGGTCGCAGCCTATCGGCATTGCCCATCAGTACTCTATAGAGAGGCGCAGCTTCAGGGACCGTTTGAAACCGGCAAACTCTGAGCGCAATGCTGGTTTAGGTGCTGCTTCTCGTGCTGGTCCTGTTGGTGGCGTGTGCCGCTTCTCGAACGCCAACTGGGTGTTGGGCCAGCTGCGTCCTCTGGTGAGCGCAGCACGAGCCATCAAGGACAGCAGACAGGGACAGCTTGATTCGTTCCATATCGCAGCTCCAGCTGGGATTGGAATCGACCGGCAGTCGGGACACGCAAGAACAATTTTGCCAATTTTTGGCCTCATTGCACTCGAAGACATCGTTGGAATCGATGGAATCGATATTGTCCTGCTTGAGCTCCGACGGAACCGCAACGCCGTCGTTGGGGTCCTGCTTGAGCCTCAATGCCACCGCAACGCCGTCGATGAAGTCCTGCCTGAGTCCCACTAGCCTCTCAGCCCAGTCGACGCACTCGATGATGACATGCCTGACCTCCGATGGCCACCCGATAGAAACGCACATGCCCGAAAACGGGATTTCCGACAATGGATGGACTTTGCCGATGGTGGAGCAGCTACTGGTGACAGCCATATCCTCGCTGCCCATTCCCCCACAGGTGCCATGCGGCACGCAGACCGAGGAACAGCCATCGACAAGTGCCCGTGGGCCTGGGCTCAAGACCAAGAAGCGGACGACACGTTTGGCCGGGGGACGGGAAAAGTCTTCCAGAAAGATCAACGCGGCACCGCGAGTGGACGACTCAGAGTGGGGTTTGGAAATGTTCAAGCAAATCCTGGTGGGAGCAGTGCAGGTGATCTTGTTCCTCGGTATGATCGTGGTCCTGGGCTTACCGGATTTCCAATGCCCCTCGTTACGTGGCCAAGATCCACGACTTAAACAGTGATTGTTCCTTCTTACGTTGTTTTTTTTTATACAAATTTTGTATAGTTAAGCGAAGGTACTGGCACTTCCAACCGTTTCGTTTCGCTGCGGTGACCAATTGTTAATATATAAATTTTGTGTGTATTGAATCGGAGGTGATGGCAACACAAAAAATCATATCTATATAAATTTTAATATTATGTTGTATGTATGTGTCGCATATTAACTTTTTAATTTAAATAAAGAAAAGTATTTATAAATGTAACTTCCGTGTTTGGTGTGTCTTTAACCACGGTACTGTTTGTTTGTTCCTCTGCTACTTTCGTGGACTGGCAGTTCTTGTGTGACGTAGCCTGGCGTGGGCATGAAAGAGAATACATCTGCAGTAAAGCAGATTAAGAAGGAGAGCAAAAAGAAGTACACTCAAGGCTTGAGTGTGTGTTGGCAAAATTCTTGCATGTGTGAGTGATGACTGGAAAAGAGAAGATCGCAATTAGAAAAGAACTGCGGAGGCAGTCAGTTTTTGGGGTGTGAAGCGAGAAGTCATGCCACGCGCCAGGAAACGTTTTGTCGACGAGGTGGCAGAAGGAGAGGATGAGGAAAACAATGAAGAGTATTATTGTAAAAATGACTCTACGACATCAGAAGTGGGATGGACTACTCCTCAGGCCGGTTCTGACGAAAACCTCCGAATGCTGTTGGAGTCGCAAAATCGCCATTTTATGGAGCTCATCAAAACCGTGCAGCGTACGCAATCAAACGACGCAATAGTCGTCGTACTACGAAATTCAATCCTGATCGTGCAGGCGCGGACGCGCTCTCTTGGTGTTCAACTGTCGACTACATTCTCTCTGAAAACCCGTTGGAGGGCAGCGCTCTTGTAATGTCTCTTAGCCAGTCGCTAGAGGGAACCGCGTCACATTGGCTGTCGCAAACTTGCTTTGCGGGCATAACATGGACACAATTCCGAGAATTATTTTTGCAACATTTTACTGGTACGGAGACCTTGGCGGCAACCGTTATGAATCTGCTAAATGGGCGCCCAAATGCTGGAGAATGCCTTTCGTTGTATGGAAGCAGAATGGTCACTTCGCTCATGTCCAGATGGAAATCATTGACCGTGGAACAAATAGCCGTTTCTGTTGTTTTGGCGCATACCGCTGGAGTTGACAAGAGACTGCAGCGTTTAGTGTTTACAACGGACATTAAGACGCGCAACGAGCTGCATCAAGAATTGAAGGCGTTTTCATTTGACGTACGACAGGGTCAGTGTTTTACTGATAATTCATCTGCTCCGCCAGCAAAAAGGGTCAAGCAATTTCCATACATCAAGTGTCACAATTGTGGGAAACTTGGTCATAAGATGGCCCTGTCGTTTTAAGAGAGAAGCAGCTCGGCACCAACCAATTCACAATCAGCACGTTTCCAGCACAGGAGATAAAGAATCGGTCAGCTCTGACCTGCTACAAGTGCGGAAAAGTTGGGCATGTATCTACAGTTTGCCCAGAGCGTGTCACACCTTCCAACAACATTAACGTTAAGCACGTTAACGTGTGTACTGTCGTCGAGCCCATGGGAACGCTGATGCAATTTGGTGAGTCGTTTCCATTTTGTTTTGATTCCGGAGCCGAATGCTCGCTCATCAAGGAAGCTGCGTCACAGAGACTTTCCGGAACTAAGGTAAACAATGTAGTTGTACTAAGGGGTATTGGTAATAATACAGTATGTAGCACTTTACAAATACTTGCAAATGTTATGATAAGCGAATATTCTTTTGAGATTCTGTTTCACGTGGTTCTAAACAACTACATGAATTACGAAGTAATGATTGGTCGAGAGATTTTGAGCCAGGGAATCGGTGTAACAATTACCTCTAAATCGCTTGTTATATTTAAGGAAAAATCTATATATCCTGTGTTGGTTCCCGAAAGCACTCCTGACCTGGCAAGCGTTGATACCGATTTGGTAGGATCTGATAGAGATCAGTTGATAACAATTTTAAAAGACTATTCTAAATCATTTATAAATGGAGTTCCACAGAGCCGCGTGACTACTGGACAATTGGAAATACGTCTGATTGATCCTAACAAGACAGTACAGAGATGCCCCTTTAGGTTGAGTGTTGAAGAAAAAGAACAAGTAAGACGAATAGTGGATGAATTGTTAAAGGCAAATATTATACGCCCTAGTTGTTCTCCGTTTGCGAGCCCGATGATACTTGTCCGAAAAGAAAAATGGTTCGGACCGCCCTGTGTGTAGACTATAGAGAGTTGAACGCAAACACTGTGTCTGATAAATATCCTTTGCCACTGATTTCTGATCAGATTTCCCCAATTGTGTGGAGCTAAATATTTTACCTGCATAGATATGGCAAGTGGGTTTCATCAAATTCTAATTCATCCCAACTCAATCGAGCGCACCGCTTTTGTGACACCAGAAGGACAATTCGAGTTTTCGAATGCCCCATCGGTATTTCAAAGGGCCGTTAACAAGACATTAGGTGAACTTACTCATTCATATGTCGTTGTTTATATGGACGACATTATGATAGTCGCGGGCAATAAAAATGAAGCCCTGGATAGGTTACGAGTAGTTTTGCAAACGCTTACCAAAGCTGGCTTCTCTTTTAATGTTGCAAAATTTTCTTTTCTTAAGTCCAGCGTTGAATATTTGGGATTCGAAGTTAGAGAGGGTGAAATCCGACCAAATCCGCGAAAGATACGTGAATTTGATTCCTCCGCAGTCGGTGCACCAATTAAGGCAGTTTATTGGATTGGTTTCGTATTTTCGGCAGTTTGTGCCTAAATTTTTCGCAGATGTTAAAACCACTTTATGCTTTGACTTCGAAAAATGTTTCTTTTCATTGGGAAACACAGACAACAAATACGGCAGAAAGTTATTTCTATTCTGACCAATGAACCTGTTCTCACTACCTTCGATCCGCAATTTCCCATAGAGCTGCACACTGATGCGAGTGCAGATGGCTATGGTGCAATTTTGTTGCACAAAATTGACAACGCCTAGGTAATCGAGTACTACAGCAAACGAACATCACCTGCTGAATCTTGATACCATTCATATGAGTTAAGAACCCTCGCTGTTTACAATTCAATTAGACATTTTCGCCATTACATACATGGCCGCAAATTTGTAGTTTTCACAGATTGCAATTCGCTTAAGGCCTCCCGCACCAAGATCGAACTGACTCCCAGAGTACATCGTTGGTGGTCGTATATGCAGTCGTTCGAATTCGAAATAGAATATAGACCTGGTGAGCGAATGGCTCATGTAGATTTCCTTTCTCGAAACCCACTACCAGACAATCATGTAGTGTTACCTAGTACAGTCGAACATCACATCAATTTAACTGAGATCACAGATAATTGGCTGTTGGCTGAACAGCAGAGAGATAAGGAAACGTCGTCAATTGTTACCAAGTTGCGTGACAATGAGTTATCTGAGGATATGGCCAAGACGTATGAGTTGCGAGCTGGAACACTCTATAGGAAAATTCAGAGAAAATGGAAAAACCCGTTGTCTGCCTGTTATCCCAAAGCCGTTTAGGTGGTCCGTAGTTAATAATGTTCACGAGGCAATTATGCATCTTGGTTGGGAAAAAAACACTGGAGAAAATGTATGAATTTTATTGGTTTGAAAAAATGTCTAAATATGTCCGCAAATTTGTAGATAACTGCATTACCTGGATTGTCCAAACCACCATCTGGAAAAATACAGGCCGAATTGCATCCCATCCAGAAGATTGATATTCCGTGGCATACTGTCCATATCGACATTACTGGAAAGCTTAGTGGTAAAAACGACCAAAAGGAGTATGTTATTGTCCAAATAGACGGATTTACCAAATTTGTCCACTTGTGCCATACGGTAAGGCTGGATAGTGAAAACTGTATTAAAGCTGTGAAGGCATCAATATCGTTGTTTGGTGTCCCTTCTCGCTTGATCGCAGATCAGGGTCGTAGTTTTTCTAGTTCAGTGTTTCGTGATTTCTGCTCTGCGCAAAAGATAGATTTGCATTTAATTGCAACTGGGGCTAGTCGAGCCAACGGCCAGGTGGAGCGAGTAATGAGTACTCTAAAGTCAATGCTAATTGCTGTTGAAACGAGCCAGCGATCCTGGCAAGATGCTTTACAAGAGGTACAATTTGCTCTGAATTGCACGTCCAACAGAGTGACCAAAGTTAGTCCATTAGAATTACTTATTGGAAAAGAAGCAAGGCCATTTGGTCTAACGCCTGTTGCTGATAATGAAAATACTGTTGAAGTTCAAAAAGTTAGAGAAAATGGCAAAGTATAATATGGAAAAGAATGCCAATTACGAAAAAAATAGATTTGATAAAAATAAGGCAACAATTGTAAAACACAAGGTCGGAGACTATGTGCTGCTTAAGAATGAAGAAAGGCACCAAACCAAATTAGATCCTAAGTATAGAGGTCCGTTTTTAGTGACCGAAGTTTTGGATGGGGATCGGTATAAGCTTAAGTCGATAAATTCTAATCGAACGTATAAATACTCGCACGAATTTTTGCGAAGTATGCCCAAGGAGGGGATTACCACAGAGTTGGATATTGGAAGTGATGAGGAAAATGTCGAAGGTAAAGCCGGTGAGAGCTTGGATGTTACTGAGTATGATGATCAAAATGATGAAAATGAGGCCTTTGAGGGCTGTGATGATGTTGACCTGATGTAAAAGTAATGAGTTGTTAAGAAGATATGATGGCCAGTTTAATGTGATTTAAGCTGCGTGCTATTGTTGTATGATGGCCAGTTTAATGTGATTTAAGCTGCGTGCTATTGTTGTATGATGGTCAGTAAAATTTGATTCAAGCTGTGAACTTTGACTGTTTGGCCGGTTTAATGTGGTGTAAACTGTGAGCTATGGTAACGAAGATAATGCTGTTTGGCCGGTTTATTGTGATATAAACTGAGAGCTATTGTACGTTCAATAAATTTTGGCTATATTAATTTGTGGTAACCCGTATCTTGGGGCGGTAAAATTGAATCAATTTAAAAAGAAAGTAAGCTTTGAGGAAAGCATTTCTATATAAAGGAGTAATTATTTGTTTATGATTTATATTTCGAAAACATGTGAAAGAAAAACAAAGATTAAAGAAAAGAAAAGAAATTTGTATTTGCAAACACACGAGGACGTGTGTAGGTCAGGAAGGCCGTGTCGCATATTAACTTTTTAATTTAAATAAAGAAAATTATTTATAAATGTAACTTCCGTGTTTGGTGTGTCTTTAACCACGGTACTGTTTGTTTGTTCCTCTGCTACTTTCGTGGACTGGCAGTTCTTGTCTGACGTAGCCTGGCGTGGGCATGAAAGAGAATACATCTGCAGTAAAGCAGATTAAGAAGGAGAGCAAAAAGAAGTACACTCAAGGCTTGAGTGTGTGTTGGCAAAATTCTTGCATGTGTGAGTGATGACTGGAAAAGAGAAGATCGCAATTAGAAAAGAACTGCGGAGGCAGTCAGTTTTTGGAGTGTGAAGCGAGAAGTCATGCCACGCGCCAGGAAACGTTTTGTCGACGAGGTGGCAGAAGGAGAGGATGAGGAAAACAATGAAGAGTATTATTGTAAAAATGACTCTACGACATATGTAATAGAGATCTGCGTAGCTCCATTAAAAAAAAAATTCCAATAGAATCCATTGATTTTATTTGAGTGTGTGACACACACACAATGCATTAAGTTCATACAAATGGGAGTGTGTGTGTGCTTCACACTTTTCAACATTCGGTTGTTTGAGTTAGAATGAAGTAGTGCACAAAACGAAATGGCAGAGATAGAGCAATTCGAATAACTAGAACTTTTGCCGTGCACTCTAAGCATAGGATATAGCAACATTAACGTAATATACACACCCGACTTTGACTGTTTAGCGTTGTGGAATTTTTACAAAGATGTTTTCCCCCTGTTGCATAAAACAAGCTGCAAAATATTTTGCATACCAGCGAGTAGTGCGGCTTCTGAAAGAGCTTTTTCAGATGCCAGAAACTTGATCACCGAAAAGCGTTGCATATTATCTACCAATCCATACACACTTGCAACGGATGATGAAATAGGACCTCTTAGTGTCGTAAGATGCTAAAGCAAAAGCTGTTTCGCAAAACTACGAAGGACCATGTTGTTGTTCCTGTGGAATATTAACTGTGTTATCCGGCTAAAAAGGCCGTGTTGTTGTACCTGTGGAATATTAACTGTATCAGGCTTGAAAGCTCCTGGATTGGCTATCCATCACTCTTCCTTTTATTGTGTTAATTCCGTTGCGCATTTGCTCGTTTATTTCATATTTCTCTTACAATTTACGACTTAAAAAATATTTCTTTCTATTCCGCGTGTTCGTCTTCTTCTTTTTTCTCAAGAGATCATACACCCATCGATATTCAGCTATCGCCATAAACTATCGGTTAAACAATATTCATTATATAAAGTAAAATATCAATTGTGAGACTAAACTAAAAATAATAACTTTTTCAACACTAAGTTTAGGAACCTGGTTAGAGCGATTTGTTAAGTTTCGCCACTAACCATACAGTATATATAATAAGAATTTCCAAGTTCACAAGTAGGTTTTTAAAAAGATATTTTATTTAATCGAACTTATATAATAGAACATATGATATGATAATGAATTCCCCAACTCAATGTTAGAAAGTCTCAAACGGAACTGTCTTCTTGTTCTCGGGTTATTGTTCTCGAGACCTCTGTTGGGAAGCTTAAAACTTATCTCCTTAAGCTTTCGGCTTCGGCTGATATTTCGTCTTCGTAATTGAGTGATGATGGCTTCGGCTGAGAGAGACGACGTTCTATTGCATTCCCGAGTTTTGGGTTGCATGGGACTTCCTGTTGATTTCGGTATGGACGAATCATGCGTTGTTTATTCAGGTGTTGGGGTATCTTCTTATATGTTTATCTTATTTCATATAGATGCGAATACATGGGTGTAGGGGTGAGTGCTGGGCATATGCATAACGTGTATAGGTGTGGGTGTGGTTATGAATATGTCAAGTGCTTAACGTATACTTAATGCGTATGTGGGTGTAGGGCATTATGGATATGTTACTATATATATGTGCCAGTTCATACACCGAACGTGTCGCTGCTGAGTTTTCTGTCCCAGGTCCCCAGGTCTTCGGCTGCTGGACCTGAGACGGTAGGGTCGCGGACCTGAGACGTTCGGGCATTTTTTCGACATGTTCGATTCATGACGAGATACACTGATAGAAAAAAGGCATAGTAAAAATAACTACAATCATATTTGAATTTAAAATGCGATTTTTAAATACAAACATAGTAAAATTAAATAGAATTCACTTTGATTCATATATAATTGTATTAAAATGGCTTTTTTAATACGGTCATATTTAATCTTAATACAAAACACTTTAAAATAAATATAATATAATAAATTTGTAGTTTAATATGTTTCATATTAATATTGAATATTGTTGTGATTAAATTTGAAAATATTTATTTTGAAATCAAAGGTAAAAATTTTAAAAACATATATAATATATTACATTTGTAGTTTAATATGTTCCATATTTATATTGAATACTATTATAACTTATTTTAAAAATATTCATTTTGAAATCAATGACAAAAACTTTTTATTTTCAATATTCAATATTATATGAAATTAAATATGTTTTGTATTTCGGTTAATTATTTGTTATTTTTGGTGATTTATTATGTATTTATTTAGCTGCTGCCGCCTTAGTGACTATTGGATAAAGTTAATACATACATATGTATACATACTGTGTACATTTACATATGTAGTATATCGTTTAAATAGATTCATACTTTTATTTAACACCAGTTGGTACGTTTTAACAACTGCATGTACATACACATACGTAAAGAACCAACTGAAATCGCCGCCGCAATCCCCAGATCTTAATCCCATTGAGCATCTGTGGGACCTCCTGGAGCGCAGGATCCGACGGCACACTATAACGTCGAAGGATATGCTCAAAAGAGTCATTATTGAAGAATGGAGCCAAATAACGGTCGAGGATACCAAAAAATTGGTCGAATCAATGCCAAATCGATTGGCGGAAGTAATAAAACGTAAAGGGTATCCAACTTCATACTAAAATTCTTATTATTTTGTGAAAAAAAAGGAATATTCATTGGTTTTTTTTGTTTGTACGCATACTTTTTCTGACCGAAATTCTGACTATATTGTACATTTTGTTTTATATTAAGAAAAGTTGATAAGCTAGAAGCTAGGGAGTATAATCAAAATAAAGCCTAATAAACACACTGTTATTCATAAAAAATTTAAAATTCTATATTTGCTTTGACACATGTTTTTTTTACGACAAAGTTGTAAAAAAGGTTTGTACGCATAGTTATTCTGGCAAGTGTATGTACATATATATATACATACATATTGATAACATACATATGTAAATATATCTAAATTAAAATATTTGGTACATGTTTTCATATGCTTGTGTGCATTGTTTTCATTATTAAACTTGTATATATACATATACTGTATAAGTACACCCATGTATATTATACATGTAGACGTAACTCATTTTTGTCATTCTTCATTATTTATTCTTGTTTCGGACATGTTATATTCCGAGTCATGCTCTCTCTTTCTTATTTGGTTTTTGCGGCTTGGTCTGAATGTGAAAGGGGAAACAGAGAGAGAGATTGAGCGCGTAGCAACTCAACCACGGGAAATGGATTTGTTCATTTTGGCTATAATAATGATCCAACCTGAACCAGATTCGGCATTCTGGTACATATGGGCATACTCTACAAATCTGCGTTTTTAGTTTTATCGTATTGCGGATGCCAGAGATTTTCGTCATTTGTGTGTGTGGAAGGGGGCGGGCTGAAATTTTGAAATGCACTTGTAACAGCTCCCTGCAGTTCTGGCTGTCACGGCATGAAAGTGTCATAGGAAAAATTGTTCGGGCTCGACGTCGACAAAGGCAGCGACGTCGACGTCAGCATGAAATTCTGACCAGCTTCAACTGCTGCAGATCGAAGCTGACTCGTAAGAAAGAGAAGCAGATATCCATAGATTTCCCTCTCTCTCATATTTTTAGTTTTCTCTACCTGCATTCGACCCTAACTCTTCTACTCTCGCGCATTTCGTCTCCTCAAAGGGATGAGGGGAGAAAAACCGATTATTTGGTGCAATCTTTTGTTGCGAGCGGCTGTGATTTTTTTGAGTTGAGCGTCTTTTTACATGTTTATTCCTTTTAAAAGTGGTTTTTCAGTGTTTTTAAAGTCAGGTAAGTGGATTCAGTGATTACAGTGCGCGTTGTTAGTTAAATTAAATTTGTACATGGGTTTCGCAAGAACAAATATGTTTAGATTCTAGATCATTCAAGCGGTGTGGTCCCGTTAACCATGTGCGTCGCTGCGAGTGTTTGTTTTTGCTCGTGGAAACCCATGTAACTGCAAATACAGCATTTTTAATTAAAAAATATATATGTACAAATTGACTTATTTATTTACAGATCAAAACATTTCTGAAGTCAAAATCAAAATATTAGTCCAGGAGTAATTGTTTAAAATTCCTCAAAGGTAAAATCAAATTTCATATGTGCATTGCTTTATACAAATCTGAACATAACTCAGAAGTTAGTTCAGAAAATATTACCTTCCGTGGCTAAATATTTTTATTTTTTATATCATTTCAGGAGCATTGGTGCTTATTAACTTGATCGAGTCAGTTAAGGAAGGCCCTACAGATAATTAAAAATAATTAAGTCAATGAAAAATCTAGAAAATCTGTGTAAAATAAATATATTTACTTTTATTTGAATGAAGTGTTTAAAGAAATTTTTGGGTGGCTTTCACTTATGAAATTATCCGTGAAATTCCGTTAAATTTAATGAGAAGTCTCACAGGTGATTTCATATAGGACATTTCAAAAGAGCCACGAGTGATTTCATATGGGATATTTCGAATGAATCACGAGTGATTTCATATAGGACATTTTCGGGAGTTTCCCCAGTGAAATCACTCGTGGCATATCCCGAGTGAAATCACTCCTGGCATGTCACCAGTGAAATCACTCGTGGCATGTCCCGAGTGATTTCACTCCTGGCTTATACGTATAAGCCACCGGTGAAATCACTAGAAAATTCAGTGACAATTTCATATGAAGTTTCACGAGTGACAAAAGCGGACATGTCCATACAAATTTCATCTGGAGTTTCACCAGTGAGTCACCAGTGGCAGAGGACATGCCATGAGTGATTCACCGAATGAATCACGAGTGAAAAGTGACTTTTGGAACTGCAGGGAGTGTGATATCACATGAGTCTGGAAACAAAATTTGGTTGCTCTAGCTCTTATAGTCTCTGAAATACAGGCGCTCATATATGGAATATTTCGAAAATACGTGAGCACACATACAGTCGTCGGATGCTACTGTGTGAAAACTGGCTCTAAAACGATCTCTCTCCCTCTCTGGCCTTTCAACCAAATTTAAGAAGAGCCTGGGAGCCAGGAAGCTCGAAATATTCGAATGCAAAAAAAACCAAATGGCGTTCCGCATCTTTTTGTTATTGTCTTTAGCATAACCACTAACCATACAGTATATAGATTAGAGGTGGAGAACTATCGATAGTCGGCGCCATCGATAGTCGACGATAGTACTTTCACAACCATCGATAGTGGACGATAGTGCCATCGATAGTCGACGATAGTGGAAGGGCCCACAATAATATACATATTTGGTAGTTCTTTCTTCCTTTTTTCTATTATTTGGTATGTATATAAAGTTTTAAGTTTGTTTAAATTTTAAATATGAAAATCCATACATATTTGGTTAGTATTAAAGTTTGCTTAAATTATAAACAAGAAAATCCATATAATATATTAATTTTTTGTTATCCAAAAGTTTTGGTTTAAGAATAAAAGTATGTTCACGTTTTCTTCTTTGAGCCCGGTTCGCCTCTCTGAAACAATTTGGCCCGCCTTGCTAAATACTCTTTCGGACTCAACGGATGTTGCGGGGATGCACAAGTATTTTAAGAATAGCCTTTTCAGCAAGGGAAAATCCGTTTGGTTGACCTGAAATATAATTTAATATAAATAAATATATATATTTTTTGAGTATTGATAATTCTTTATTTTAGTTTACCATAATCCATAAAAGAGGATCCATTTCCTGGGCGGCTATATCTCTTTCTAGATATTGTCTTTTAATAATAATTGCATCTGTTCGTGCGTTTGTTTGTTTGCTTGTAGGTCTCTCATCTAAAAAATCAAAAAATGTGTCCTGAGTTTTGGTCTCCGTTGCCGGGCTCAAATTGACAGGGTTTTCTTTGACCGTCAAATTTAAAAGCTCGTTTTCAAAAGCTGTTGATGCTTGTTCAGCATTTGAATAATGCTGAAAACCGTTTTTTTTGAATCGTGGATCTAATATTGTAGCCATTCTGGTTAATGACCGTTGCTCATAAATGGAAAGACGTTTTTTTATGGACTCCAATAAAGTATTTTGCATTTTTTTTCCTTGCAAAGTTTGTAGTTGTGGTAGAAGATTTTCAAGTTTGCGGTAGAGTCCATATGCCATCGGTATTATAAGCGAAATCGTCACATATTTTCCACCAGAAATTTTTTCGCTTGCTTGTTGGAAAAAGGCCAATATTTTTTCTAAATCTTTCAATATATTAATTTCTTCAGCAGTAAATGGTAGCGGTGCTTTTGTAGTTGATAATAAAACTGTAGAAATGGCATCATTTGTTGCTAATATACGCTGGATCATAAGGTAGAAACTGTTCCACCTTGTTGGTACTTCTTGTAACAAAGTATAAGAGAATTCATCTTGAGCCATTTTAAATTTTTCACCCGATATGGTGCTGTGCTTAAAAAACCTTACTATGGTCTTGCACTTTGTAAACAAAGCTTTTACTAAATCGTCGTTGTCGAATTTTAAACCATCATGAACCACCAGATTCAGAGTATGAGCAAAGCATGGAAGATTTTGAATTTTTAATATTTCACATGCTTTCAGCATTGAGCTGGCATTATCCGTAACAATGCAAACTGTTTTTTCGAGGACATTCCAATTATTTAAAACATCTTGCAAAGTGTTTGCAATATTTTGCGCCGAATGGTTTGTTGTGTCTAATAATTTTCTTGTGGCCAATGATGCTGTTTTCAAATTATAATTATAAACAAAGTGACATGTGACGGTCAAAAAACTATCGTTGGCCCTCGATGTCCACAAGTCACATGTGACTGATATATACGAAATATCTTCTAGTATCGTTAACAATTTAGCAGAAGTTTCCTTGAACATATTAAGCATCAGCACATCTCTTAAATGTGTTTTGCTTGGGAGCTTATATCTGGGATCCAATACCTGACTGTAGTTTACAAAGCCTTCATTTTCCACTATATTATAAGGCTGTACATCCTTTGCAATCATTTCCGTTAAAGCCCTGTCAATGTCGTTCTTTCGTTTTGAATTAGTGTCGTACAAAACAGCTCTTTTAAAGTAAGAAGCTACAGAATGCATACTTGATCTACAACTGCTGCTTGTAGATGCGATGTTGTCGGTATCCTTCGAAGTAGCTGCAGCTGGAGTGCTGGAGTCTGAGACATGAACCAAGCCAGGATGAAATCTTTTTAGATGATCGTGCAAATTGGACGTATTTCCGCTGGTCTTATACTCCTTTCCGCAGTTAATGCAATTTGCAAATTTTTTGTCTTCAGACCTTTTAAAATATTTCCACACTTGTGAGATTTTATTTTTCTTCTTATGTGTTTGCCTCTCGGTCGCCAAATCTTTCTCCGAGTCCGTGCTGCTGCTATCCCATGCCTGCATTTCAGCGCTGGACACACTGGGTGTGAGGGAGCTCCGACGTTTACCTTAAATTCGACACAAAGTCAAAACAACTTATAACTACTTTAAAAGTAAGCATTATACCTCTTTGAAGAAAGCGGTCCATTTCTCTGTATCACTCTTGTATCTCTTGTATCACTGATTTTAATTATAAATGTTTTCACACAGACAAAACAAATAAACGCGAATTTTTTTTTTTTGGTGATGTGAAATAAATACTATCGATGGTACGTCGGGAACTATCGAAAGTGGTTGGCTACCATCGATGGCGCCGCGATAGTGACCTACCATCGATAGTGCCGATAGTGCTATCGATAGTTCTCCACCTCTAATATAGATGTGCCAGTTCATACATCGAAAGGGGCGCAAGCTGAGTGTTCTGTCCCGGCTCCCAGCGCTTCGGCTCTGTGAGGCTGAGACACTCGGGTCGGGAGCCAGGCCATTCGGGTCGGGAGCTGGGCCGTTCGGCATGTATGACTCATGTCGGGAAGCGAAAGCAAGCTGAGAATTGCAAATGTATGTGTGTAAACAGACACGACAAAATTTTGTATCAATTCTTATTTTCCGAAACCGTTTTGAGTTTCGTTTCCAGGTTACGTAAATGTGTGTGTGCCATGTATTCACACATACTGTGCTTGTGTGTGGGCTCTACAATTGTTGTCCGCTTGAATTGGTTGTTCGTTTTGTTTTGAGGGCTGATGTGATGTAGCGACCTATTCAGGGCCGGATCAACCCTCAACCGGGCCTGGGCAACCATCAATCTGGGGCCCTCCATTTTTTCACGCCAGTTCCTTCTTTTTTTCATTTGAAATAAAAACTTATAAATTTAATGTTTGCTTTATTAATTTGTATTTTTATCAGTGGCTATTATATTTTTTATTCATTATTTGGAGTTTTGTTTTTTCAACAACATTTTTCTGTTATTTCTAGGAGGGCCCTAGGCAACTGCTAATCCGGCCCTGGACCTATTCCCGTCGTAAGACTTCATATTTTCTTGGTGTGTTCTGTCGCTCGACTCGACGCGGGTTGACGAAGCCGTTCATAAAATATTTTTTCGTTTTGTTTTGAAAAGCTGTTGTTGCGACGGGCGCGTGGTGTATTTCTTCCATTCTCCTTTCGGCTTGCCTTTGCCTCCTCGAACCGCGTCGAGTCTTATATTGTCTTTGGTACAACGCTGTTGTACTCTTTTTCGTTCTTTATATATATACGGACATATATACGTACATAATATGTGCTACATACATATGCACTGGTTCGCGAGTAAGACGTGCGTGCGACAGGTCTCGACACGTCGACTACCCTTATTTCGAACATTCTGTTTCGATCCACGATACAGAAATATCGTGGTCACGCTCGTATTCGTACTCGCATTTTCTCTTTTTCAAATACGAATGTGCAAAGTATCAATTCCATATTGGCACGTCGCACCTCGAATACCCTATGCATTTTATATATATATAAAATATATATTTTTATAATCTTTCCTAAAAGTAATTTATCATATGAAGGATACACGAAATACCTAGACGAAACATATGTACATATACAAAACTTCTTAAACTGTAAGAGGAAAAGCTTTTTCGAAAATTCGACTACTCTATAAAAGGAAAGGGTATGTGTGCAAAAAAGGCAAAATTAAATAGAAATAGAACGTCTGAGTAAAAGCAGAGTACAACACGCACCTGGCGAAATTCCGTGTTAAAGAGCAGACGAGAAGTATGTGGGACAGTGGGACATTCGGACTGTTCAGCTAGCAAAATTAATAAGTTCTGAACAAATAAATTTATTTTAATGAAATAACCTGTATTTGAAAAGAAAATATTACAAAATGTAGTTAAGTATACGAGTACACGGTGCTAAGATATCGGGAAGCTTTACAATGCAATATCAAAGTCGATCTTTGATTCCGGTGCATATTTGCCTATGTATTTCGGCTGAGGCCCCACTGTGCGCTTGCTTGCAAATCCAGCCGAGGCGGAGCCGTCGTCAGGGCCGGCGTTAGAGGTTATGACGCCCGGGGCAAACATGAGAAGAGGCGCCCTTTGATAATATTTTTTTTTCTGAAATGAACAAATTAAGTGACTTAGGCACTCCTAAATTTTGGCGCCCAGGGCGACCGCCCCGCTCGCATTGCCCTAAAACCCGCCCTGGCCCTCGTACTTCGTTGACCTTAAACCTTTTTTTACTATTCTGTTTAAATTCCTTCTCTGTATTGTATTCCCAACACTGTCCTATAGTTGAGTGCCTATATAATAGCTACTCACAGCTATAAGCTATTACAGAAACTAGTAAACTGTATACAAAGATGGATAACCTAGAGGTCATTTTTATTGAGTCGCAACCGGAGGAAACCATAAATCTGGATTCTCAGCCAGACTCCGTGGACCTGTCACTGATTTTTGGAATTAAAACCCAAAATTATCTCGAGAGGAATTGGGATCCTATTAATGAGATTAAATGGGATGATGATAGTGAGGATGATGACCTCATGATATCATCACAATACATTTTTGAGGAATATGTCGGTGAGGACTCCATGACTGAAACGCCATTCGTTTTGCCGGATGATGATCATATTTTCGATTTGGTCGATGATCAAGACTGCGGCGAAAGGGATCGACTCAGGGATCTACTTCGGGATGAAGATGACGCTGAGTTAATAGCGGCGTTGGAAAGAACTGAGGCTGGATTTAAATAAGGCGAGAAAGCATATGTATAATAAAAATATTCGATGTATTTTTCTAATCATAATATTATATACATACATACATAGGTATAATAAATAGAATACTACATTTAAGAAATTTATTTTCAATGTTTCCTTACTTCTGATTGGGTGAATTTCACTTCCTACTATTACATGTTACATCCCCCCAGAGAATCATAGGATTCGTTTGAAACAGGTTTTCCAAGCGAGGATTACACAAAAGAATAAGTGCATTTCAGGTATAGGTACCTGGTATTGAATGTATTTATTGGTTGAATTTCACATCCTATTAATCTAGGTACAATCGTGTAAATTCACTTATATTTAAAGATATATGTACATTTACTGGATAATTTATTTTTTAATATTTTTTAGTTTTTCATTTATTTGCTTTAATTCTTTGTTATGCTTTAATAAAATATGCATATTGAAGTCAAATTTCAACCAAAACATCTTAGGTCCAGGACATAAGTAACATCGATAAAATGATGATCTTGATTTTGGATAACTGAAGTTGTGGATTTTTAGGGTGTGATTTTTTAATCCATTGAGGGAACTAAACGATTTTTGATCATAACACAGCTCACAATGAAATGTCCTCATGTTAAATTGAAAATAAACTAAATTATCTTAAGAACTTGAACTTATTATATAGGTTTTCAAGTGATGAACAAAGGAAGAAATATGTATTCATTTAATTCTTTTTTATATTCATTTCATTCTGTTTATATATTGGTTCATGTTGAAGGTTATATATAAAGACAAAAATATATGTTTAATAGTTGAAAATCATATACTAAAGTGGTATCGATTGAATTTATTCATTATCACTCAACAACCAATCAGATTGAAGACATGTTGCTTTTAAACCATTAGAACCATTTACTTATTATCACTCAACTACCAATCAGAACAGCTCTCTTTTATATTAAATTAACCTACCCAGAGTATAAAAGACCATGTAATCTTAGATACCTAATTTAGTATACAACAGTGTCTTTTTTGAATAGTTTATAATCCTATAATGGTATGTAAGAAATTTATTACTATTTTTTGTATATATAAGGATACAGTTGTAATAAAATATATACACAGGCGTTCCTGGAAATACTTAACGAGACAAAGCCAGTGATTGGATACACCAAGGTTGAGGATCTATGTATAGGATTTGAGTACAAGATCATTGGATGCAAACTCAAAAAAACATCCTTTGGAAATAAAGTAGTTCTTTATTTAACTGATAAGGACAACGAGCATCTTTGGATATTTTTACCCAAAAGTTATGTAACCAAATTTTCCTCAAAAACACCCTTTAAGATGTTAAAGGAGCATGGAATTTCACATCTTATATATAAAGGAAAAGAGATGACTAGATATAGCACTGCCCATTTCCAATTTATATGTAAAGAATAAATAATTATTTAAATGGAATACTTCTTATGTATGTCAGAGAGCAAGAGACAACTATACATTTAAAGAATAAAAAAGAGATTAAAAGGTTGTAAATAAACCTATGTGAATCTACATAAGTAAAAAGAGATGGATAGATATAGCACTGCTTATTTACAATATATACATAGGTAAGGGAAAACACAAGGTGAAAAGAATGAAATCGTGTATATAAAGAGCCAGGCTCTTTGTACCAACATCAGTAATCGATTCAAGAAGCCAGTTGAAGCATGTACGCCAAGCAGATTAAACTGTTCCTTATTCAATTCGAAGAGATGATCTTTGAGGACAATCGACAAACCCTGGAAAACTTAATGATCATTTTGGAGGATCTGGAGGAAAAGGAGCTCCAGTATTCAAAGTTCGGCTTTCACTATAAGCTGTGCCCCTGGAGTGATGACGATGCTACCGATGGACCTGATACATGCCTTTGTCATACATTACCGGCAAAGAAAGCTCAAGCTGTAGACTTAATGATAAAATATTATAACCTAAATAAGCGAATGAATCTCAGTTCAAAACAGCAATAAATATTTACTCTAAAACAATTTTATGTTGTTTTATTTTAAACATATTTGTTCGGCTAAGCGCCGGCCCATGGCAGCACAATGAGCAAAGAGACCATATGTAACATCTCTTAAAAGTAACGTCTCTCTTTATTACTGTTTTGTTTGCTTTGCTTATGCTCTGTCTGGTGCTTTGCTCTCTCTCGGCGTTCGACAGCCGCTGTGGGGGAGGCTCGTCAGAGAAAGCAGAAGACACTTCAGATTCGATCATCACCGTAGTTAAACGTTTTGCTGTCTGGCACAGTGACCTGCCTGCCACAGAGTTCTAAACTAAACCTTACATAAATCTAACAACTTCAACAGTCTTGAACCGGCCCCCGCGTCTTCAATCGACCCATCGTTAACTCTCGTTATCAAATCCGCACACCTTTCGCTAGTTTTGGATAAAACAGATATATTAACTTAAGTACAATAAACTGTGAATACATTAACTGAACAATCATCGCCTTTTTAAT